AAAAAATGCAACAATTTGGCGCTGATTCCAACAAAAGATCAGAAATTATGTGGTAGAAAAAAATAAACATAGTTCCACAAAAAATTATTGGTTGTAGCAAACACTACTAGGAAAAGGCCTACTAGTGGCGCACCTGTTTTGCCTACTAATGGCGCACTACAGGTGCGCCACTACTAGCATGCCATTAGTATTTTTTTACTAATGGCGCACCTATGGTGCGCCATTAGTATAGCCCATGGTGCGCCATTAGTATGCCTCCCAGGGGGCCATATTTACCCATGTGCTTTGGCATACTAATGGCGCACTTGTGGATGATGCGCCATTAGTGTGCTCTGTCTTACTAATGGCGCACTATGTGGTGGTGCGCCACTAGTATGAATATCAGGGATTTTTTTTCTTTTCTGATATTTTCGCAGGTTACAAAATATATTATTGGACAGAATATAGGTAGACCACACATCAACAGCAGATTCATCGAATACAATAGAAGATTAGTCTGCGAATACAATTCATCATATTAGTCTCCGAATTTAAAATATCGAACAAAGTTAGAACATTACAAGTCTCGAAACCGCGAGTAGCGAGTTTGTCTTCACATTACAAGTCGATATCGATCATCTAAACTACCATCACATAGAAGAGAGCTGCGGTCATCACGATGAGCATAATCGCGATGAAACTGGTCTTCATCCGGTTCCTCCAATGCTCCCTCCTCTCTCCCGCTAGATAACGCGCGTATCTAACTTCCGCCTCCGCCCTAGTGGTGTACCCTTTATAACTGTTACCGCTGAAATGGTGAACCTATTTCCGACACTCCTCCTAGTCGTCGTAGACTCCGGGAACCTTACCCTTGTACACGACATGCGACGGCATCTCTATGCACTAGCCAAACAAAACGTTAGTAGCAATTCACAGACAATACATAAGCAATATATAAGTATGCAACAAAAGGATCAGAAGAGAAAAGCAACACATTAATAGCACGACTCATGGTCCTACTAATAAATAGCATCGATTACATCTAAGTTGAAAGACTGTCCAAACCAAAGAGACATACAAGTTCATTAAAGTTTAATTACAACATGAGCCAATCGATGTTTCAGAACTACAGATAGCATCACTACTTTCGACTCGACTCAGGGACTGGAGCGTGGATGAAGCTGTCGTCTCTCGTGATGGTCATGAAATTGCGGGCGTTGTTAGCCTGCATTTGTAGCGTTGTGTCTATCTCACTGTTGGACGGTTGATATCTGAGGTAGAACTGCCCTAAGGTACAAATGACATCTTGATGGATGATTTCCGCAAACTCCGACTGGATGCGAAAGAATTCTTGTCTGATGTCCGCGTCCTGGATTGCCGACAACCTTGCGGCCCAATCTTTGAGATTATTTGGTAGCAGAAGGTGATTATGTTCCCGTACGATCGCCTGCATGTGATGGAGGGTGTAGTAGGCATCCTTGTGACCGCCAGGCAGCTGCTTGACGCAGGAGAACATCGTAGTGTGGGCGAACACGTGCTTGTCGTACCTACGAACTCGCCTGGTGAAGGTGCCTCCAGATTTGGCGTAGCCACGGAGAACATCATCAAGAACTTTCTTGATATTTGTGTAGTCTTTCTTCGACTGATGGTCCGAGTCAAAATACGTGGCCATGGAATATTTCATGCTTCAGTGGATGAGTGTGCAATGTGTGTCACTGCATAAAACACGGAATGTTAGAAAAAAAGAACGATCGAAATCTAAGAAATCATATGTTACAGGGCGGTGAGGGGATGACTTACTCGGGAAAGTAAGGCACGAGGAAGTTATCCTTATCTGGGTTTGCCAGAATGACGCCTTCGAGGTAAGAACTCGCGACCTGCCGGTCCCCAGCGTTTCCCAAGATCTTGGCACGCATGTAGAAGGGGTCGACTATCATGATGTCCGGGGTCTTGTCTCTAATGATCCGCATCTCCATACTCAGCGAAAATAGCCGAACGAAGGTGTAGTGCAGCGGATGAAGGTTAAACATAGCGAAGATGTCATCAAACCACAGGATGATCATACCCCCGATGGCGTTATCCACAAAGCCCTTGCCCTCTGGCACCTTGGCCACGAAAACCGGGTATGCCACATCATTCTCGGAGAGACGCCGCTTCTCCAAAGAAAGAACACTGTCATGCAGACTCCGCATAGCACCGGTTGCAGCATTGAGCAGATTAGTCGGTAGCATCGGCCTACCCGCCACATGCACCCTCCTCGAGATATCCTTAGGTGAAGGTGGACCGTCCTGAGCACGGATCGTACTCGGTGCCGGATGGCTGGCACCCTTGTTACTCTTTCTTTTCCGCCCCTTCTTCTTCTGCTGTAATGGGATCAAGTTCTGCTCACAGACTGCCTTCTTGAGTGTGTTGGGGCTGATAATAGTTGGCACCTTGGCTATCTGAGGCTCGGTGAAGGCGGCAGCTGGAGGCGTCTCCTGAGAACTGAACGCCAGACGACGCCTGTTGCAATTTGGTTTCTCCGCGGTACCAGCATGATCGCGGTCGTCTTTTTTAGGATTGGGTTCTTGAGAAGGAGGCCCGAAGAATTTGTCACTGTACCCATGTTCGGCAAAGTACTTATCAACGTTGGTAAATGTACCATCGTCGTTGTCGTTGTCGTTCGGATCCTGTGCCATAGGGATGTCCGACATGTCCGGTAGTGTTGCGGCGGTCTTGCCATGGCTTGGCGCCGGCACGACTGGCGATGTTGTATTTGGGGTGATGTCCCCCACCCCCAAAACGAATCTGGCTCTTCGGCCAAAGCAGGGGCCAGCTTAGGCAGGCGCTGAGGGTCATCAGATCATCTTCGTCGGCCTCGGCGGGTCGAATTGGAGGTAACAACTCGTCGCAGCCTGGCAGCACCTGAACTAGTTGAACCCTATACATGGTGGGTGGCATCGGATTACCATGGAACACGGGGTTGCCCGGTTGAACAATTTTGCCCTTGGCGACATCGACCAACTCGTCATTCACGAAGTGCAGGAGAGTGCACAGAACGTTGGCGGCGCCCTGCGAAAACATGTAGGGCGTCAGGGATGCCCAGTAAAAGGCAAGGAGATGAAGTCCTCGGCCGAGAGGCTTAATTAGTTACCGTGATGATGGCGTCGAGCTCAGCTAATGTCGAGGCACCGCCAACGGCGGGCGTGCAACTAACGGAGGGGCCGCTTGCTACCGAGGTGCCAGCCGGCGTACACTCGGGTGCATTAAGCTCCAATGCCCGTGCCGGCATCGGAGACACCAAGACCGCCTCCGTTGGAGACACCAATGGTGCGGCCTGCGCGTTGTGCGAGTTGCTGGCCGTGAAGCTGGGAATCGGGGGCGGCCCCTGTTGGCCGCCCGCAATCCACGTCGTCAGCCCATGAATCAAGGTAGGCATAATGCCGGTGAGCGCCGATCCCAGTTGTTGTTGCACTTGCTCTTGGACAATCTCCAGAATCCGCGCCACTTGTGCCTTGAGTTCTTGAACCTCGCGCGACTGGCTTTCTGAGCTGGTCTTTATCTCCTTTCGCCCACCAGCGTTATAGTATGATGACCATTTTGTGGACAAGCCTTTACCGGCCACACGACCAGCTGATGACGGCTTACTGAGCTTATCCTTGTTTTTCATTACGTTCAACGCCCTATTTAGAGTGTTGTCCCAAGGGGTGCTCTGAGACGACCCCGCGCTACTGCTTTCAGTCTCCTGCGCCTGAACAAGCTCAAGCGCCCTGGTCTTCGGATCCGTGGTAAGCTCCTTTGTTATCGGGTCCTCCTTGTACCGGGCCCTGACATAGTTCTTGGTCTGTTTGTCACGGTATTTCTCGAAGCGGGGCGGTAGGCCTTGCTCGGCACGCTCTGCGTCCTCCTTGTCCCATATAGGCTCCGCCACTCTGTAACCACCGGGACCGAGTTTGTGTTCCCCTAAGTTCAACTCCCGCATTTCTTTCCCCCACTGACTTGATTCTGAGGTTGCGCTGCTCTCGCACTTGATCTTGAACTCCTTGT